CTTTAGTTCTTACTCTGTAAAAGGTCCATAGCCCAGTCCCCTCATGTCCCGGTACTCTGTCCACACAGTCATGTCTCCTCTGCTGGGGAACTTCTCATCCTTCCTCAGGAGCTCCTCCATGAGCTCAGGGGTGTTGACTGAAACTGACTTGAATATCGATTTGTATATGGGCCCGTACAGCTGCTTTTCATAGATCTGATGGAAGTTAAAAAAGCAGAAATAAACTTGGTTCACTTGGCTCACTTGGTTGTGATTAATTGAAAAAAAACATACATTTCACCTCAACAAGCTGTTTTGTGGTTGCTTTAAAAACAAAAAAAAAAAATAGCTTACATCTTATGTGCAATGATAGGAGGTACATTGCTGTCATAAAACACCAGCTAAACAACCAAACCTGTCCACAGGTGAAGTCAGAGATGCAGACCTTTAAGGATAAACAGATATTTCTGGTGCAAATTTTTAAAAAAGCCTCCTTCAGGCTCAGATGCAGCTGAGACTCACCTGGAACTCACCTGTAACTCATGCAGTCGGTTGTGGAAGCGCTGAAATATCATCCTGTACAGAATTTCCCAGCTGCTGACCTGTGGGAGGTCCTCCGAAGTCAGAGGTTTCTCCTGGACAGCTTGGAGGGCCCCCGGGGCAGAGGTGGTCCTTCCCACACCCCTGGATGCAGGGCACAGCCAGCTGCCACCGCTCAGCAGTGCTCTCTGGCAGCGCCAAGCAGCCATCGCAAGAGCAGAATACAAAATGCAGGACTCCTGTTACAACCAGGAGAGCAGCTGGAGAGGTGGGGGCTACGTCTCAGATAACCACGTACCCATGGAGGCGTTTATGAGTCCTGAACTTTATGTAACACCCTGCTCTCTCAGAGAGCAGGATGTTCACACAGTGTTCACACAGTGTTCTCACAGTGCGAACACTGTGAACATACACCTTCTTGTTGGATATTAAAGAAGATTTGTCTGTCTCTGCCCAGTGCAGTGAAGGTGACAGACTCCAACGGAGTTCCAGTGTGAAGATCAACTATCTGCTTATCTCTGATCCACTTCCTCCCATACCTGAAGACCACATGGGATCTCTGTGATACAAGTTCTGCTTTTAATACAGAGAAAAACAACTGATTGTTAGTATCCAGATAAAACAAGAGGATTTTGAGATTTTTCCTGACCAGATGATGTGATTCCCAGGGCTCGGGTGGAAGTCAAACTGTGTGTGAACTCGTCCACTCTCGTGAGCTTGGTAGGAGGTCTCCACGCTCAGGTGCTGGGTGTGCCTGGCGTGCTTTGTGATCCAGCTCAGCAGCCAGGTGTAGCTCTTATCCCTGCTGGGAACCTCCAGGGTGATCATGCAGTTCCTACGGAAGAAGATCATCCCCACCTGGGCTCCCCTTCTGGCCACGGCTAGCGCAGTTCCGACCCCAACCAGTCCAAATCCAGTGCCAAAGTAAGGGTTGTCCTTCAGGCTGTCCAGAAAGTGCGACAGCGGCATGATGCTGATTTCTGCGGCTTCCCCGTGAAATCAAAGCTTTTATAACTGTAATGTGTGGAGATGAAAATAAATCATATTAAAATCTGTTGAACACAATTATAACAATTTAGTATTGAAAAATCCTCCTGTATAACGAATGTATGCAGAAAAGTCAAACGCCTCACACCCTGTGTGTCAAAAATATTCCCAGTACTCAATAAAACTCACGATTATTTTTTTCCTAGCTTCTTTGGTATTTATTATTCGTCAGTCAAAATAGTTAATCCGGGAAAGTAATATGAATGAAAATGTCCGATGTGATTTAGGTGAAAACACGAACAATTTTAGTGGTGAGAGGGCATCATATTTACCCAATGTTTGGGCGGAACTGATACACGGCAACAGCTAACAAGAAGTAAATTAGGAGGAAACCGGAAGCGTTACAAGCTAACAAACCCTAGCCTAGCCAAGATAGCGAAAAATATTGGCGTGTTGTAGTCACTTTTCGTTAAAAACAAAAAGGGAATACATTTTAGTGACAGTAACTTAGTGGAAATGAGTGATTCACCTCTGACAGATACAGTAAATATTAATTTATTATCCAGACAGGGCAACTAAAACTAAATCTTCTAGATCTTTTGTTTGTCTGGTAGAAAAATGGTGAAAACTTGGGCGGTACTGCAGTATTTTACGTATTTTTATCATTGTGGTAGCTGCATAGCCTGAAAGCCTCATTAAACGGTTGGCTATAAATCAACAGTGTAACATCAGTATTTATTTGCTGTCACCAGGGGCGCTGCTAACAATTAAGCTTTACAGTGGCAACCCCCAACAGACTCAGTTGTTTTCCTAAGCTATCTGTATTTATGCTAATATAAAATTTGCTATAGGAATTTTTAGATAACATTAAAAGATCTTAGACAAATTTATTATGTTGTTAAATGTCGTATACCAGGCCAGACCCATATTGATAAGTAGTCAGGCATATTTAAGTTAATCAGTAATTTATTGGGAAAATATATAGAAGCTGCAAACTGATGGACAGGTTGTTTAAACTCTGAACTGTGGTGATGGGCAGTTTGAAGCTGATGCTTCGGCGCATGTATTGAAAAAAACAACACACTGTTTCAGAAGCACTGTGTCGAAGCTTGATTCGTTTGGTAAAAGTCACGTAATCAATGACATCCGAAGCTTCGAAAGTGGTGAACTTACGTCACTGCTTTGGTACCTGATTCAAAGACTAATGAGGAAGTAAATCATTGGCTGGATTCGTGGTGTGTTTTGATGGCAAATGCGCAAAATATAACAAACNTCAACTACTGTATTTCTTGGTTTTAAGAATGTGTGAAATAATCTAGTAGCCTATTTTTAGTGATGGGCAGTTTGAAGCTGAAGCTTCGGTGCATGTATTGAAAAACAACACACTGTTTCAGAAGCACTGTGTCGGAGCTTGATTCGTATGGTAAAAGTCATGTGATCATTGACGTCCAAAGCTTCAAAAGTGGTGAACTTACGTCATTACTTTGGTACCTGATTCAAAGATTAATGAGGAAGTAAATCATTGGCTGGATTCGTGGTGTGTTTTGATGGCAAATGCGCAAAATATAACAAACCAGTGAAGAACTTATTGTGAGACACAGAGACAAACAATCGTATGTGTTTAGTTTGTCGTGCAATTTATAAGCCTGGGCCAGACAGTGGGGGTCACGAACCCCACTTAGCATATGTTAACAGCATATATAACACTGGTTATTCCAGACCCAAACCAG